ATTAGAAATACAAAATTTTTTTACTTTTGTCGTGTTTAGAATTCACTATAGCTAAACCACTGTAGATTTTCACAACAGAATGGGATTGTTTACCAAGAAATCTACAGTTGGTGATTTTGCGTGATTTTCTTTTATAAAAATAAAAGTTCACAGCTTTAATCCACCGTGATGTTGTCGGAGGTGCATAAAGTAGAATCTTCAGTTTAGGATTTAAAAATCAAATGAACAATACATTACGCTTTCTAAGAGATTTAAATTGCTTTATTTGATGAAGTAAACTGAGTGTTCTTAACACTAATTAATTGGGATTTTTCCCATTTTTCCTAAGTATACTGGCTACATGTCTACTCTCTTCACTCCTGAAATTCTCCCTTACCACCAGAAGCTAAACATGCTTGCTAACGAATACGGCAATTATTATGAGAGAGAATTTCTTTGAAAACCTCGTTTCTTATTCAATATTTAAAATTGCATTTCGATTGATATTGCACTACATCGTCACTAGATCCAACTTTTTATTATGTCTCTTTGGATCAAGTTTACTTTTTGTCTTAGTATTAATAATAGGGTTTTACAACAAAGTCGGTATAGTGTGCAGATGAATGTTGTCTCACTCAGTGTTAACCGCTAATTTGGTGGTGGTGGTTTATTATTTATAAAACAATTAGTTGGATAATTAGGTTGAACATTTAAAGTTATGCCGGACTACTCATAATAATATTTCATGCTAACTAGCGGTATTGATTTTCATCTCAAATTATTTATGTCAGCCTCAGTGACTTACATTATTTTCAAAGTTCTCGAAAAGGTTGATGCAGTAACTTGAAACCAGACAAATTATGGTTCAGATCCATACGCTGATGCAGAACTAAAGTGATAGAACATTGAACAGTCACCGATTACATGGATTATTAAATTATTCACAGCATACGATAAGAAAAAGTACAAAATCAGTTGATTCTTAATTGACAGTTTAAAAAAACACGACATTAAATGTCAGTTATAAATTTCTGCAATCTGTTCTAGTGATTTCTTGTTACTACGGTGACACTGTTTCTACACGTATTTCCCTCTTATTCATGTGTCAGTCAAGCCTACCTTCATTGAATAGCACTGTAGTTTCACGCAGATCTACTTATATTACTTGGATGAATTTACAAAAATGCTCAGCTTTCTGTCTGTATTGACAATGTAATAATAATGAGAAATTCAGTGAAGAATGAACCTTGGAAATGTCAAAAATACACCCAAAATGTCAACTTACATGTTGAAATGCACATTGCTTAGCCTATACAATAAAAGACTTTTAAACAAAGCGTTTGTATCATATGATTAAATGTACAACGATAATCTCTTTAGACAATCATCTTAAATGTGTTTCTTTGTACTACTAAAACCCACTTAAATTAGCATCAGTTTTTTATAAAACTGCATTTACTTAATCAACACATAAATTAGACTGAAATTAATCGACATGTTTCTAGGCTAATCAAATGCATCAGAATAAAAGCGACCAAATGCTAGTTCGCTCATAATCCTGTCTTTTGAATTACTTAGTAACTTGTAGTTTAAAGTCAATCCATTAATTAACATTCCTTAATCTGGCTTGTATTAGTATTAAACATGAGTTTCATAAGTGATTTACGCCGAAATGTCACCTACTGACTAGGTATTATAAATAGTTTATCTGTCTGATTGGTTCATTAACGTGGATTACTTCTATACACATCATAGTGAGAACTATGTAGGACATTGATGTAAATCAGGCACACTAGCCCTACATTCAGCAGTTTGCATAAACTTCCGTTTGTTTCAGATAAGCAAATGACTATTTACTTCAAACTCACCTGTATAGACATTTAAGATTTTGTGTTTTTACAGTCTTCAAAAGTCTTATTCGGGCGGAAACTGACTGTTAACTGAAAAAAATTGTTTGAGGGTTGTTATTGAAAAGAAAAGCAGATAATCTCTCGGCAATTTTGTTCAGTCTTTGGTTATAATATATGACTTTTATTATTGTCCTGAGTTTCGATGTTAGTGTCAACATGAATGTCCGATTAGTTGTGTACTACTTCGTGTACATAGAACATCAGTGTTACCACATGAAAACTCAACTAACCAGTACCGCTCATCATGCATGATTTGAGAAAGATTGATAGAACGAAACAATATCAATACTCTGATATGAATTATTCGGTAAGTACCTACCAAATAAAGACGACTATTTGACAGGAAAGGCAATTTAAAACAATTAGACTTTTTGATAAATTTAGATGTGCTTATTGGAAGATGGAGTCCATCTGCAGAATGTGATGTATCTGCAGATCAAATCTCGAACGACTTGACCTGACATCTAGTTGTCGATTCGGTTTAAATGAAAATTAGAAAAGTGTAATTCATTTTAAAAAAACAGAATGATATAGAAGTGAAGAGTAAAGATGATGACAGTTGGCACTATTATTTGTCACACATCCACATATTACTATTATTATTCCCTTGGGTTCTGAGGGGAACATAGGGCCTCAATAATACATCTCCACTTCTTTCTATTTCCTGCTGTCCTCTTCAGGTGAACCCACAATTGCACATTATCTCTCATCTCCTCCTCGCTACATGGTCTCCTTCATGTCACCCTCGCACCGAAGACCCACTTGTAGCTTACCGCTGGGATTCCACTCAAGCAATGGCCTGCATTGGGCGCGATGTCATTTGATGGCCTCCTCAGAGTGTGCCCGATACAACTCCATTTTCCCTTGCATATTTGTTAAGCAATCGGCTCTTGGTTGGTTTGTTGATCGCCAGAGTTTCTTGTTGCTAACTTTTTCTGGCCCGCTGGCCGGTCATTTGATTTTCAGTATGGATCCAGCGAAGGCAGCCGTTGATAAAAGTCTGTAACTTGTTGGAAATGAAGAAGTGACTGATTTCACATTTATGTCAATAATCCGAGTCTTGTTGTTCATGCTGGCTCAGTGCAGAAGATTTTCAAACTAGTTTCAGGTTGATGAAGGCGTATCTTACCTTTCCGATTCCGACTGCCAGTGGCTGAAACCCTGCTTCCTAGATAAGTGAAGGAAGTAACCCCTGCTACAACCACCATCCACTGATGGTGTTAGGTGCTGGTTGTTGCTGCTGTGGATTGGCCATCTTCATCACCTCCGTCTTCTTTGTGTTCATCTGGAGTCCTGCCTTCGTTGCCAGCCAGCCTTTTCTGCCAGTTTGTTGCTTTTCGCATGCCTCTAAGTCTTTGTGTTTGTGTGACATTAAACATAAATTATCCACACGCGAAATCTAGATCTTCTAGAGTCTTCTTATAGGTACAACATATTCCTTCTTGTCTTCTCACCCATCACAAACAGTTTGACGCACAACCCAGTCCACCACAATAAAGAATATCATAGGTGATAGTAGTAGGCAACTTTGTCTTATTCCTATAATCACTTCGAACGCGTCGCTGAAATTTTCGGTGTGGACCACCTGACATGTGGCATTATCATATAGCCAACTGCCAAATGAGGTTGATACATATTTGGGCACTGCACGTCGTAGTTTTGAAGCGCTTTCCAAATTATTTCTCGGTCAACGCTGTCTGGTGAAGGTCGTTTAGAAGTCGATGAAGTCGACGAAGTGGAGGTAGATAGAGTTTTGACTGCCTTTTTATGCTCTGTTCGATGATGATGATGATGGTGATGATGTGCAGAGTTGCAATTTGGTCAAGACATTATTTGCGTTTCCTGAATCCACCTTGTTTCGGCGGGCGTAGTTCTGCATCCAGTGCATTCTCTCCAGTATGATGCGAATAGGTACTCTGTTTGGTGTGGGCAAGAGCACTATTCCACCCCAGTTCTTGCACAGTGAAGCATGAGTTGCCCTTCTTTAGTAGCTTGACAAGGTAACCTTTCTTCCAGTCCTTTCTTCCTGCAGTAGTGGCGTGAGCACCTCTGTCGTAGTTTCTGGGTCCGTTCTCAGTGCTCCATCTAGCCCTGCTGTTTTCCTGGTTGGACATATGTAGTTTGATCGCATTCAGGATTTCTGCTTTGAGTGGAGGGTCACTGTCCACTGACAGGCATTTTCGGGTATGCTGTTGGTGGTATTTCTGAGCGAGTTGCAGGTGACGGTTGATTCAAGAGTCCTTCGAAGTGATCATCCCATTGTTTCATTTATCTCTTCTCCTTGGCAGTCAGGTCCCTTTGAGCATCTTTCATAGCTTTCACCTGCGTTGATCTCTTCTCGGATATCTGATATAATGTTCTGAGGTCTCTTTTATCTGCTGCTTGCCTACCTGTTGAGCTTCAGTTTCCAGTGTGTCGTAGAATTGTCCTTTGTCTTTCTTAGCAATCTTTTTCACTTCTTTATTCAGTGAGATGTACACTGAACTCTCAGCTCCTCCTTCTATTCTTCATCTTTGCAATGATCCATTCTCTGTTTTACCATTCTCCTCTCTTCTGTTAGCTAGTAAGTATACGTTGAGAGCCATTCCTTGTCTTGTCTCTTCTTTCTTCCTAGAAAAGTTGTACACGTTTCTTTGAACATCACCTTCAGAGAAATACATCCACATAATAGTTGCCAAAGTAGATCAAGCGTAACAGTAAACATTTTTTGGCACTCACACAGGGGAGGGGACTTAATACTACGAAAAACTATCACTTCAGCATATTTGTATTTCCACTCCTGGAAGTTTTTGTATTGAACCCTGAACGCCACATCATTATTAATCTTGTAATTCATATCCATACTATTTTTACATGAACTGAGAAAAGGAAGTAACGAATTTTGCAGGAAATTTCCGATGTTATAAGACACTGAGGAAATTAAAAAGTTACTGAATAATTTATTCTAAACAACTTTAGTGCTTTGTTATTCTGTCGAAACACGATAAATAACACAAATCAAATGAAGTGACTTTTATACTTGCCTGGATTTTTTGCCATGCGTCACTCTGGTGACAACTCGATTCCAATAATATTTATAAATATTCTGTGCATTTGTTTTCATCCTGTTAGGTTGACCAGCAAACAATTACAGCTAGATGGGGTAGGCCATTGTTTTCTAGTAGTCTTTATGCCACCTGCTGCCTTCTTTTGATCATTATGGCTGCTTATTTTGAGTTTCATCGACTGGAAACATTTGAAGCAGTATATCGAGGCACTGGACCCGTACCATTCAGTGTAAAATTCTCCGTTAAAGGCGAAAAAGTTAACCTGTACTTGAGACTTGGACTAGCAAGTAAGTGATGATTTAACAAAGAAATATTACGAAATTGTTTCTTAAAAAGTGACAAATATAAATGTTAAAAATAATGTAAAAATGTATTCGTTTGGAATAACAATACTAATCACTGTTATCGTGAAAAAATAATTTGCTGTGCACCATGTATTAGCGCTTGTCATTGCCAAGATTAATTGGCAAACTGATATGATTCAGTGACCATGACTACGAGGTAATGTTGCTTGCATAAAGTTTGGAACTTGTCTCTAACGTAGATTACATAAAGGCATTTGTGGTTTGGGGCAAGTTCATATATCAAAAAAGTTATCTCCCAGCTCCACTTTTCCAAATAGGCCGACGAAAGATGAAAAGATGACGAAAGCATTTAAAAGTATGCATAAATACAACGAATATAAGAGATAGTTTAATCCCTAGTGTAAAATAATATGAGATTTTAGGAAAATTACTTAGTGAACCTTGCATGAAATACATTTAATCGCATATAAATACGAGACGTAATATTATTCTAGGATTCGATGGAAACAAGAAGAAAATAAAATTGAATAAAATTTCTTTCATAAAACAGGTGTGTGGCTTACTTAATTACTGAAGAATTTGATACATAAATGTAGGTCTACGCTACATTTATCCCTTTACAGAATTTTTGTCACAGCTGTTTTGATGAGAATTCTGAAATGGGAGTTGTCAGGCGTTTTGTATACACTAGAGTGTGGCAAGTATTCTGGTGATCATGCATATACAGGAATTCACCGGTCTGAAGATTAGATAATGTTGTAAAAAGTTCTAAAGTTTTGTTTCAAAAACAGAAAATAACAAGTAATCTAATTCTTGCTTTGTAGTTTCATATGAAACAGTAAAATAGACGGTCAAGGGCCAAATGTCACTACATTTCTACTATCAGAAAATCAGGTGATATATACGTATATATACAAATTTTATGTTATTCGGTTTATTACCAGAACCGGTGGTTAGTCGATTGAACCAGTAGATCCATTCACTATAGTTTCAGTTCGATTTTTTCGATTATATACTAAAATATCAGTATACTCAGAAATCACAAGGAATGAATTATTGAGAATAAAGGGATGGTCAATTAGATCTGATAACACAAAATGAGATAAGTGAAAAGTGTTATTGGCTCACAATATACACAGTTAAAAGAAAACATTACAGTAACTGTTAAAGCAACCAAGGAAACAGTTAAATAGAAAATAAATTCAAAGGATATAAGAAAATAGCAGGGTGCTAAATAACCGAGTTATGTACTTATCTAACCTATTCCTTCTGTTCATACATCATTGATGTGTAAAGTCGAGAGATCCATTTTTCTTTTTTGTATTCCAAAGAACACACTGTCTATTGCAAAATGTTTTTCTGAACTCATTTTATCAGTTAGTTGAATAACCATTGTGATAAAGGTAAACAAACATGTTTTTTCATCCCTTATTTCCTTTCTCTTAAATGGAAACGTTTCCAGTGGGTTATAAATAAATAAAAATTGCAAAGCATTCTTTACCAATGTAGAAATTATGTGAGCTGAAGTAAACTCATCCTGTTTTTCTCTGATGATCATTGAGTTGTAAAGACTGTTGTTTAGTAATGTGAAATATGGAGTAATGGGTTTCAAATAGAATTATATTACCCATTTATTTAGTAGACGTCATGTCCCTGTACATTAGATGGGATTACCCACATGGAAAAAAGGAAGTATATAGAAACGCTTTGCAATCTGCCACAGACTACAATTAGACTGTTTTAGACTGAAACTCACTGTTAGAAACATGTAAATTCAGTTCAGCTTTTTAAAACTGCTGTATATTACATGTTGCTGTGGGGCTTTTCACGTATGTCACCGATTTAGATTCTCACCAGGTGTAAATGTTTATTTCCAATTTATCGTTCTTTTTAGTGTTTGGTTTAATGAGTATTGGACATGTAGCTGTAAAATGGGTTGAAGAAGCGGATATCACTAACGCCTTGTTTAATTTGTATTTAAAGTCAATACTGGAGATGGCATTTTATGTTTTGCAAACACTGTTTATACTTAGATACCACAGAGTAAGTCTATTATTTTTTCCTCATATATGTATCTACATTTCCCATAATGTTCTGCAATAATCGATACCATTGAAAAATTTTCACTTCACTTGTGATTAGTTTCATAGCTAACTCTCCAAATACCATCTTCTGTCAGTTGCTACGTTATCAATCTGATAATTAGATTTTGCCATAAAATAGTAACAAAAATGACAATTACTGTTAATTATATCTTCTACTGATGATTCTCATTGTAGAATTTGGTGCTAAACAAAAGCCTTAATCCACATTTTTTCATCAAAAGCTAATAGTTTGACAAACGCTTATCTCAGTATTGACTTTTAGAAAATGCGGTCTTCAATGTTTTCATGCAAAAGTGTAACGTTTTAACGAAATCAAATACAATAGTTCGAACCTTTAACACTGCATTAAAACTTTCCAATAAATAAATTGAAGGCATGAAAAGGTATATTAGTTCAGACAACTCATAGAAGTTGTAATTGCGTACATGGTGACTATTTAGAAATATGAAGCCTTGTTAGAAACATTATCACACCATGTGATAAAAGATTTATTTCTGTAATCTTGAAATACTTCTTACGATTTGAAGTAATTCATGCATTTGAAGTGATAACCTAGCGATTTAATTCACAAAGTTAAGTAAATACTGAAAGAAAAATTAAATGCTATTTTTCGAGTAGAAAGTTCATGCTACGTTGCTGTAACAGTCGACAAAGAAAGGCCAATTTATTGCATAAATCCAAAATGTTAGATAAATTCCCTACCTGTTTTGAACAGTTATTTTCCTTGGATCTGTCAGTGAATTTATGAAAGTCAACTGAGAGTTTTCAAAAAATGGGGACACCATTCCTAAACTTCTTTTTGTATATTTTCCGTGAAATAGGATATTTAATGTATCAGTGAGCACTGAATTAGTCATTTGTCATTAGAAGGTTTTACAATCTATGATTATCACAAACCAGATAGCTAATTTGCAGTCAATGCTTTCTAAATAATCTTTTAATGGGTGATAAAGCAGATAAAATATGGGTGATCCTATAGGCAATCATGAAACACAATTACTTACAAGAAGCTTAGTTTCCCAAGAAGAAACAACTCGGTTGAATTCTGAGTTAGATTTGACTTGACTTATTTTCCAACTTTATCTCCAATGATATACCACTTGCAATACATTTAGCGCAAGCTTCATAATGCATGGCACTGTGAAATGGAAATATATCAGTTCACTTTATTGTGATTATTCATATAAAAGTTACAGTAATCGAGTGCGGTAGTTGCTGTAGATAAATATGACTACCTTAAGTACATTTCGAAATTTAAACTATTTGAAACAGGCTTTCACTTACTGTAAGTATATAAGTCGCAAATAATCTTATGAAGTATATTCTTTGTTATGATGGTGGTACACATGTCGTGTTTGAATTTACAACTGGTACTGTGATCTTTCAAATGCGACATTTTATAACAAAGTGGTATTTGAAAACTTAAAGAAAGTTTGATTTGTCTTCTACGGCTAAATGCACTTTATGCTGAGATAAATGCGAATGGGGCAAAACAAATGAGAAATATTCAACAGCACGTAGGTATTTTCCCTCCACTTGAATGGATGAAAATATTGTAGAAGTAGATTATAATAGCCAAAAACAGGTTGCAAATAACCCAAAAAACGCATCTTATCTATACATTAATCACCATGTCATGATTTCATTTATTCTAAAAATTAATAGTTTCCATTTATATATATTTATTTATTTGTGGAAATAGTTATGATGATAAAAACCCACACTTCTTATGTGATTCCATGAATTGATCTAAGTTGCATTTGTATTTCATTGGTTAACGCTCTGGGCGTGATATATGCATGCGTAAATAGCACAACCGATTAACTCAAATACTTCGAAACCAAATTTTTATTTCTAAGGCCAGAATATGATATTTTTGACATTCATGTCTGTTAAAGAATAATGAACAGATTACAGTACTAATATATATTTTGTGAGAGTGTTGCTTTTCATCACCAAGTATTCATAACTGAACTCTCTGTAGGATAGCCAATTTTTTTAACTAGCGCAAAAATCACTTTCATTACAAACAGGCTATCACTTTATGAGCGTGTTAATGATTATTAAATTCAGACTGGATTTAAAATTCGCTATAGCAAAACCTGTTTGTTAAAATGATGTTCGTTTTATTGACAATGTAATTTTATTGTGTTCACTGCTTACTAAATTTCATTTTAGCTTGTCATTCTACAATACAATGAAGTTATGGGAGCTTGCCTTGTCCACCTACTGACTACTAATTTATGCATATGGGCTGATGTATCCGTCGGAAAAATTGACAAAACTCTATCCTATGGTAACCAGAAGAAAAATAGTGAACAGTTATACAACTACACTCACGTGAATATCGGCGACCTTGATCACCACCATTTGACAACAGTAACCGGTAGTGGTATGATTAATTATACTATCCTGGAGAATAAAACACACTTTTACAATTTAGTTGATATTTCCTTTTATCTCCTGCCCACGGTTAGTGAATACTGTTTACTGGCTGCAGCACTGCTATATGAAATTGTAATGAGAATCGGTCAGCCAACATTCATTGAAATAGAAAGACCACATGAGCCTAAAAAGGTCAGTAATAACGCCATGCATACATGAAAAGATAACACTTTTTACCAAAGTCTTTAGCTGGATCTATACTTTCTTCATTATGTCATGCTTTTTTTGCCTAATATGCCCTTTTATAATAATCAGCCGATTTAATTGAACAAAAACAAAAACTAAAATATTTTTCACTGGAAAATGTGTCAAAAGATTTTAGCGGAAAAAACTTCTTTACAATTTTAATTATTTTAAAGAAAACTACACTAGCTAATAAAAGCATCGCACTTTACCCCTGAAGGAAGACAGTAATTTAAGTATCATTTAAGTTCAGAAATATAAATGTGTTAGGCAATTCGCGCAGCGTCAATCCGAAAGGATAATATTTTACCTGAAATTACTCATCGTGTTGAAGATGATTCAAAGTGAAGAGCTATTTAAAAAATTGAGATTTTTAAACAGAACTTACGCTTTTATTGAACTGAAAAGGTAGGGAGAAGGAGAGAGAGATCAATTACTCATGTTAGCGTGAAGAACTAGTATATAGCAATTGATCATCATACTGAAACACTGAGGTTCTGTGTGAAAATTGTTCTTATAAACAGGGTTACATAGCATCTGTTCATACTATTTTGCAAAAAAATACACCAAGTCACGTGCTTTTACACAAAGATAATTCCGATAATTCAAAAGTTTTCTAAGCTTCAGTGATGCAGGAAAAAACAGCAAACTCACTCCACATATAAGTAATAGTATTACTGTGAAACAATCATATTACTGTACACTAATCATATTTATTTCACAATGACTTCAGAATGTAATTTTAATAAAAGCGTTTTTGATTTAATAAAAAATAGTTGTGCAAACATTTCCGGCCTAGAAATTACTTTTGTTTTAATCACTCCTTTTTACCAATATACACAGTGGATATTACTGCTTAAGTAAGTGAGTAAATAGCTTTACCTTACTATACATTTATGATATTCACTGATCAATATTGAAATCAATCATAAATATTTGCTAGAGGCACTTTTGACTAAATTATTACGCTTCTACAAGTGTATATACATAATATTGATTCAGTTACGACGAGTACATTATTGCCTACTGGCAGTATTACTACTTACATGATCTAAACATCTTCCCTTACTATGCATGCATAACTGTTAGTATATTCAGTAAACATTAAAAAACGTGATTGAGGATAATTCTTTTCCCATTAGTAAATTAAATGAATAAGCACTTTTTCCAAAAGAAAAAAACATAACATCCCTGAAGATTTCATCTGCTAGAAATACGACAAACAGAATACTTTACAAAACTTTCAACGAGTGAAGTTTGTTTGAAGAAAATGAATAGTTCATAAATTTTTCCAATGTGATGTCGGTAGGTTTCTATGAGGTCTATGTACCTTGAAAAGACTTTTAAGTGCTTCAATATGAAAAATGCATCGGCATTTTAGCACAACATACAAAGAAACATATATATTTCATATATATGTCCCCCTGTTTAAAACGGGATTTTAATTCCTAATTGTAATTTTATTAATTTGACCCTTGACTGGAAATTATTCCAAAACTTTCTCACCCATTCATCGTAAATACAGGAATGTACAGCCCAGCTGATGACTTCGTCGAAAAGAAAATTTTCTTTGCTGCAACCGTCTTTTTAATAATTCCCATGATCCAAAATGTATGTTCCGTGATTTGAAGGGAAGCAAGGATCGATCAATTCAACGGACACTTGGAAGCCAATAGAGGAGAGGAGAATGGTGAAAGAGAAAATGATTCAATGCAAAGACGGACAAGAGAAAGAGACGCTGAGCTCAACTCACACAGCACTGGACAAAGAAGTGAAGAAGAATGCCAGGAAGGACAAAAGACAATTCTACGACAACCTGGCCACTGAAGCTGAGAAGGCAGCAGGCAAAAGGGACCTGAGGACACTATATCAGATAACCAAGTCTCTATCCGGGGAGAGATCAACACAAATGAAACCTATAAAAGACAGCCAAGGGAATCCAATGACCAAGGAAGAAAGACAGATTAAACAATGGGCGGACCACTTCATAGCACTCTTGAACAGACCACCACCTACAACCTGTCCAGAAATACCAACAACAGCACGTACACAACTGCAAGTTGACACCAGTCCTCCAACGAAAGCTTAAGTCTTGAATGCAATCAAGCTTCTGAAAGCTGGAAAAGCAGCTGGACCAGATGGAATACCCCATGAAGCACTGAAAGCGGACCCAGAGACGACAGCAGATATTCTGACTCCATTATTGCAAAAAGTCTGGAAGGAGGGAAAGGTGCCTACTGACTGGAGGAAAGGTCACCTTGTGAAACTGCCAAAGAAGGACGATTTAGGACTCTACGAGAACTGGCGAGGAATCATGCTCCTGTCGACGCCAAGTAAAATTCTGAGTTGCATCATCCTGGAGAGAAAAAAGGACGCACTGGATACAGAACTCCGACCAGAACAAGCTGGATTCAGGAAAGGCAAATCATGTTCTGACCAAATTGCAACTCTACGCATCATCATCGAACAAAGCATGGGATGGCAATCAAACCTCTACCTCAACTTCCTTCATAGACTTTGAGAAGGCCTTCGACAGCGTTGACCGCAAAGTAATTTGGAAACTACTCGAGTACTACGGCGTACCCAAATATTCATCAACCTTATTCAACAGCTGTACGACAAAGGCACATGTCAAGTGATCCACAACGGAAAACTCAGCGAGGCGTTTGCAGTAAACACAGGAGTCAGACAAGGGTGCTTATTATCACCAATGATATTCCTAATTGTGGTGGACTGGATTATGCGTCAGACAGTGAGAAGCGAGAAGACAGGGATATGCTGGACTGACGTGAAGAACCTAGAAGACCTGGATTTCGCGCGTGGATGATTTATGTTTGATGTCACACAAAATCGAAGACCTACAAGCGAAAACCGACAAACTGGTCGAAGAAGCAGCCAGAGAGGACAGGACTCCAGGTGAACATAGACAAGACGGAGGTTATGAGAATAACCGACCAACAACAACAACAACAACACCAGCAGCAGCAACATCCAGCGCCAATCACCATCAACGGGAGGGATTTGAAAGAGGTTACTTCTTTCACTTATCTAGGGAGCATTGTCTCAACTACAGGAGGAACGGACGAAAATGTCAAATCGAGAATCGGAAAGGCGAGAAACACATTCATCAACCTGAAACCAATTTGGAAATCTTCGTCACTCAGCATCAACAACAAAATTCGGATTTTCAATACAAACGTCAAGTCAGTCAGTTCTTCTATAAGGATCAGAAACTTGGCGGGTCACAAAGAACATTTCCAACAGGTTGCAGACCTTTATCAGCAACTGTCTTCGCTCTATATACTGAAGATCAGGTGGCCGGAAAGAATCACCAACAAGAAACTATGGGAACAAACAAAGCAAGAATCAATCGCCCAACAAATATGCAGGAGAAATCGGAGATGGATTGGACACTCGCTGAGGAGACCGTTGGGTGACATCGCGCGTCAGACCAACGCTCGAGTGGAACCCGAAAGGGAAGCGGCGAGTGGGACGTCCAAGGGTGACATGGAGGAGATCTTGTGAAGGGGAGCTGAAACAGTATGGACTAACATGGATGGAAGTGAAAAGTACAGCGGAAGACAGAAGCAAGTGGAGACGTGCAGTTGAAGCCCTATGTTCCACTAGGAACCCAAAGGAACAATAAAAATCAGGAATGCTCGATGGTTACGGGACTGAACAAGTTTCTACGTTTGTCCGTCAAGTTTGCTGAGGTGAATGCAAAGATGTTGTTTTTGAAGAATAGCTTCGAGAAACATATATATTGAAAGATTTACTTTCAAACTACCAGTTAATGTCATCTTTTCAATGAGTAGTAGCTATTAGCATAGAACCTATACGTAACATACACAAAATAACAGTCTTCATTAACGTTGCGGCACCGGTGACTAAATAGCACAATACTTGACAACGATGTGAAAGATTCCGGTTTAATTTCGGGATAATACACTTCTTAATCTCACCTAACTGGTAGGAAGCCCGAAAAAGAGAGAGGGTCAGACGTTCAGCTAGCGACTCCACTGCTACTGTAACTGTTAAATTAACCTCCAAATGTTCATTTACATTGCCTTTAAAAAAATTGAATGTATACCCAAATCCACGCTGAAATGTTTATTCTTGACAATTAAAAATGATAGTCACTGTAATTACCATATGTTGTATTACACAAAATGACCGACTTCGTCTGAAGGTTACGAACGTATAGAGATGTCTTTGGCATTAGATGGTTTAAGGCAATCAGTAGGAAGCCTTGGACCTAGGTTTCATGCTAGTTGGCACTCGTCTGCAAGGCGTATCTGCAACCTCGGAGGAACTGATGTCCCTTTTGATGACGAGCCACCTAGCATGGTGGCCAGATTGCAAACTTGACTGATAGAATTCAGTCGGCACCAAAAATAGGACTAGACACATTACACTAGTTACTGACTAATGTTCAATCCGAGATATCTTTTCTGACTGAATACAACTGGTTGAGTAAATAGAATTTCAGCATAGATTAATTGTGCGGACCAGCGTAGTAATTTTTTTGGTTCCAGTTCATCAGAAGGGAACACAAAACTTCTCAGTTGTATTTGTGAATCCCTTCATAATTTATTGAAGTCAACATGGTGTATATTGACTTTATAACTCTTTACAGTTAAGCGAAATCGGAAAAACAGTGATTGTAATTGATTTGTTTTTTCTTGCATGAACTGTGTAGGTTATGTTCTTATTATTACTTTTGTTCTATGTCTCCAGTGGTGTTTTGTTAAAACAAATAAATTTTTATTTCGTATTGTAAGCCTAATCCTTATTCTTACTGCATGATCATTGAGATATTGATTTCAAAGCGTTTATGATTTTTACAAGCTACTCAGGATTAATGCAATGAAGTATTTGATTACTTGAAAAGAATGAAGCAAAAACTACTCATTGTTACGTCACATTTATATACTAATGTTGCAATTATTTATTAGCACTGAAGATGTTATCCAGACGGGCAATGGAAGCCATGCAATTAAATTATTCGGCTCAACTAACAGAAAAACACCAGAAACTTTGTATCAAGAATTAAATAAACTAAAAGCAACAAATTTGCTGTATGAGAACTGAATGCTTTCATATTTGCCTCTGGAATGTTGATAAGCAGAGACAGTAAATGACAATCCAGTGTTCAAATTAATAGATATAGGCAGAAAAGTCTGCTATTGTAAATACTAAACTATAGATACAGACTATTTTCTGAGTAGTTTATTAATAAAATGAACTTCTTGTTATGCACCTAAAATGAAGTTAACACAGATATTTCTGTTTATAATGCTTAGAGCCCTTCTATGAAGCTTAGTAAACTTTGAATCCAGTACAAAATAAATTTATTGTTTAGTTGCATTGAAATTTCAGTAGCATTGGGATTATTATTTTATACGGGTGGGATTCCGAGCTCCAACCCCAACCAACCTTGGCTTCTGGTCTCGGGACTTTCTAGAAAATACGACGACTCTGCAGACATTCATTAATAATAATAACAGCTTTATTTTGAACATGGTTTATATAATATACAGAATTTTCTGCAGAGTTTATCCCACTAGATTTTCTCTTCGTCAAACATAACATTAATTGACGATAGATCGTGTGACACAATTCTATCTAACCTGAAGTGTGAATCAATTCAATATGAAACCTCTTCTTTGTCACCTCCGATAAATACACGACATTTTGTTGAATGTCAATTATAAAAAGTCCACGAGTATATTTTGTCAACCAAGGACACAATCCGGGAACAATTATCTTATGTTTGATTGGTTGGAGGATTTCATCATGAGCTGACATCAGTTACAGAACCACTAGAAAATCTGGGAGTACTAGACAGCCAGCTGTTTCGTTCTAGTTTGGGACTGTTCAGCAGTACGCACCCACCGCCAGGGTTCGAACCAAGGGCCTCCTGGTTACAAGGCGAGCTGGTGGACCATTAAGCCACTGGGTCCCGACCCAATGACCAGACCATGAATTCTAACTTCTGTCAATTCATGACATAGCACGACGATTTAGCGATATCTTGTTCGATGAGTTACTGCCTCACCTCATGGCTCCCACTAGAGCTTCAGGTTAACTGCCTGAATAGGGCCAGTCGCTGGTGAGCGCTATGTCATGAATTGGCACAAGTTAGAATTCATGGTCTGGCCATTGGATCGGGGCCCAGTGGCTTATCAGTCTACGAGCCCGCCTTGCAACTAAAAGGTCCTAAGTTCGGACCCTGGCGGTGGGTGTGCACTGTGAAGAGTCCTAAACTAGGACGAAACAGCTGGCTGTCCAGTACTCCCAGGTTTTCCAATGGTTCTGTAACTGATGTCAGCTCATGATTAAACCCTCCAACCAATCAAACAAAATCCTTACAAAACTAATACTTGAAAATTATCTTGTGTATTGGAATAAGGTATTATGTCTAGTAGGAAATCCTGAATCAGTAGGTTGTAAGTGTCTTGAATAATCACTAGCGAAAACAGTACTATTTTAAGTAACATTTTACTAGATTTAAACAAACTAAATAAGAGAAATTATATGCATTACATTGATGGAGGTTTTCGGTAGCCCTGGCTTTAAGCGGGCCGCCGATATATATATATATTAACACCTACCATCTTTCGGCACTGAAGCTCAGATGACCAGACAGAAGAGACAAGTAACAAAGTACTTTATCAGCCAGTGAAAGAACTAACAAATTGTTATCCCAAAAAGTATGCTGCAGGAAATGGGGATGGACTGGACATATAATATGAAGATTCTCAATTAACATCACGCGTCAGGTGGTCGAATGGAATACGAGTAGGGAATGACGAGTTAAAGGCTCAAGAGTGACATGGAGGAGGTCATGTGAACACGAAATAAAGGCTTGTAAGCGGTCGTGAAGTCATTAGAAGGTAATGGTATAGAACTGATTGCAATGGAATTGGCAGCTTGAAAAACCAAGAATGAATAATTATTATAAGAACTCTGCAAAATTATAAATATATGTTATTAAATAATATCTACATGTATAAAAAATCCCCTCAGAAAGACTGCCTCCTAATGATTTACTCAATACAATAATGTTATGACAGACACCTGTTAACTTAGGTAGACAGTAAACATTTAGTAGAGAATTTAGCATACTATGGACTGTTTCAAGCTGTCACTTGAAATAAACATGCCCGTATGGATAGTGGGGCAGTGAAAACATGACAGAGAATTCCACTACAACTGCATTTTTTATGATGAGTCTGTTTCATGTTTATGCACTAAGACTTTAACTGGTATTTCGTTACCACCGAAACTTTTTTAAACAATATGAATGTCTGAGAAAAGTCTGTACATTGCAAAATGGATGAGATTATTATAATGATAATCAAGATCTACGTTTACAAAAACTGACCAGTTTTAATTTTAAAATTTGGAGCAAAGTCACATCATTTCCTTATTTTAAATGTGAGCAATTAACATGATTCCGGGCCATGGTTTTGCTCTAAATATTACCAGAATTAAGTAAATCATTGAGTGTAAACACCAACTAACTATAAACCTATACGGAATAATTTAATATTGTTATGTAATTCATTTAACTCTAGTTGTTCGGTAAAGATAATGCTTGATGAGAAGTGTTTTGTTATTTAAATCCTTTTCTAAACACGATAGTTGCGGTCAAAGTAGGCCATAATTTTTATGGGAAGCAAATGAAGTATAAACTTCAAAACACTGCTGAATTTGTACAGTTAAAACTTGTAATATTGTGAATAACCACAACTTAGTAACTATAGTATAGGAATCGTAATTTAACATGCTTCATGTTTCTCTGAGACACGTAGAGCATAAGACATTGTGTGTGGGTGTGTGTGTGTTTGTCGTGAAGGCTAGAAATAATAGGCCATACAATCGACGTAACATTTCATTAGTATCAGCCCAAGAACTTTGCTTTCTATGTAGAATAATCTTATGAATAAGCTCTACTACATATTCTGAGGCTTATGTGCTACTTGAGATTTCTGTATATCAGTGAAGTTTATTCACCCACTCGGGGAATCGGAAATTGTCTCTCGATTCTCGCACATTCTTAACAAGCTGTTACTAATCGAAGTTTGAAAATTGCTTTGCGTTTCATCCGCCTATATATATATATACTACACTCGCTAAAACAGGCCTGCAATCTAGACGTTTAAAGACAATTCGCCTAGAAATGCAAATGAAATGTTCATCACTGAACTGATCTTTAAACTATCAACTGATATTTTACAAGCTTAAACAGTGACTGATATTTTTACCATTATTGACAGAACTGTTCCACTGCATCAGATTGACGTTCGCCGAATCAAGTTTACAAACAGTACATTCCTTAGCTTGTAAAATATATTTATTTTTTAAGTTTCTTATCCCCATATTTGTTTGATCAACATTTTGACAGTTGCTTTTTAGAAACATTGAAAAATATGTTAAGTAACTATACCAGACAAACTTCACTTCTGGCTACCTTCCTGTTTCTCTTTAAACAGAATCATAAAATACTTCGAGATTGCCGAGGATGGAATACAAGTTCAGGATCATGGTTTGGAATTATTACAGTACTGATAATTATTGCATTGACAACATTGACAGTCTCTACACCAAATCATATCGATTTAAAGAAAAATCTATGGAAATGCATAATTCTTCTAGCTGAAGAAGCTGTCTTAAGCTTTTTCGGAATATTATTTGTTGTTATGGCATTTTATCAGACAAGACGTTTAAAATTCAGTATAGCAACAAGACAAAGTCGTGTTGATGAATTTCTTTTATATACAGCATTCTTTTTTGCTGCTAACTATACAATAACAACGATTATACTAGCAGCCGACTTTGAAGCGAAAGGGAAGAGTACTTCTAACATGGTAACTTTTTTATTTCACTAATTTATTATTACTATTATTATTATAAAAGCCTGAGTACTCTAATCCTTATTTTCATTTCATTCTGCACTGATTAGAGCGCCACTGGTTTGGTTAGTGCACATACTGTCATAGTACTCTACACATAAATGAATGATTATATGCACGGTATAGAAAATTATAACATCTGAAACATGGCAAACATTCGTCTCACTAGTAGTTCAATGCATGGTCATAAACCATTTATTAAATTACACTAGTTTACAACTAAAACTTTAAGTAATTAAAGAAATTCTACTAACTGAACATAACCAAATTACTGGAGAAAGTGGAAAACTGTTGACCAAAATAACAAGACTGTTTAAGATATTCTTCACTTCGCCCTTGTAGTTTAATAATTTTACTATTGCTTTCGTCACTATCCTAATTTGAAGTAAAATTTTTAAGTGAATTTGTTTGAGTGGCTCTCCTTGCCTGTATGTGTCCGTGTGTATGGACGAGTGTGTTGTATTTTAAGATATCAACAATCTAATTAATTAATTGAGAAAAAGATAAATTTACTTAGTACTAAGTAATTTCAAAATATTAATGAATAAATAAACAACCAGTAGGTTTAAAAAGAAGTAATTAATTACCCCAGATATTTATGAATGATTGCGTGTATGTGTGTATGTTAGAAAAATTAATTTACGTTTTTCAAAAAAATTCACATACTATTGAATATTAATGGACAGTCAATGTGATGAGTTAATAACTTTTGCATAAAAAAGAATAGAAGGGAATTAAAGATTCCTTTGAATCGATGTAAATGATTTCATATTGGCGCAGAGATGTAATTTAAACTGGAATGAGTGAAGCAAAACTATTGGTTAGCGTCTGATGACTGATATTTTCTTAATAGGAAAATGAACGCGAACATCCCGCATTTCTGTGCACTCACACTTGTAGGTTTTTTCCATGAGAAATAGTGAAATAGGCCAATATATACTGCAATCATTTAAGATACAAATGTCAAATTAGCTCAAAACTTCATCAGTAAATATTACTGTCATTGTGTTTTCTTCGTCAAATAAAATTATTTTATGATTGAAAATCAGTATGTGGCTTGTGCTATATGGGTGGAGATTGATAGGAAGTGGCCAAAATTAAAATCGTCTGAAGGGGTATAGCTGTTTACTCTTCAAATTTGGATTTAGCTTGAGTTGTGGTCAGGAAATAATCTCATTGGACAACTTTTTGTCCATTTGTTTTACCTTGGGCTAGTCACCAGCCAATCAGAGCGATTTATTTTCCGCTTGCCTAGTCGAATTCTAATGTGATTAAAGATGAATGCGATGTGGTTTTCTTTAATAAAAAAGGCCGTTACCAGTTCTCTTGTTTTCTGCTATTATAGTGGTCCAACTGTTTATTTTCTGCGTACCTTGCATTACTCATTCAGGTAATATTTTATTTTCCTGAGAAATATCAATGACCATGAAGAACAACTGACTTGGAACAGCTACTGAACTTCAATTGTGCTCACTGTTTACACTTCCTTGACTATTAGGTATAATATTTGACTAAAGTATTTGGTCCACAGTCATACAGAAAGTGTTTTCATAGGTTATATCTCCTCATACTCAATTATTCTGTACAATAAATTTTAGAGAAGTAATTTAAACTTAATACTTGATTTTTGAAAGCGTTTTAATCTAATTCATTCTAGTGTACAACTCAGAAATGACATATTGGCCTTTCATAAAATTTTAATAGTTATGTTAATTGTAATTTGTCATTCGAAGTTAAGGCAATGATATCAACATTTCATTTCATAGCTAGTAAATGAAACAAATAACAGCTGATCTCAAAAACATACTTCTAAATTAAGGCAGCGTATACACCCACTGCTTATTACTATAAATCTGTCCGACTTAAGCCTATAACGAATGTGATCGATGGACTTTCGATAACATATAGGTCAAAATGATGTGAACTACTAGTGTAAATAATCTCTTTAGAAAGAGGTGAGTTTTGACCTGAAGAGACCAGTGGCAAACACTCTAGCTTCTGAATTGATTAATGCATCTTCCAATCCCCCAGCTAAAAGGATGTATCTAGGTAAGAAATACCAAATATCAAGGTTACCAGGCCTAGGATTTCCTACCTATTGAATCATAGCAAAGCAAAAAATTGAATAAAAGTTTTGCATTTGTATGATGAGTTAGTTAAGCTGTGTAATTTCTTCACCGGTAGACAAAATTATATCAGATACACTAATGGGAAGTTTTAGGTGACAGCAATGAAGTTAACTCATCGTAAATAGTTCACGTGAAATCCTCTTCATTTTATTATATCAACCGATAATGTTTAATAAATCAAATGATTTCAAGGTATAATGGAATCTTTTTTCGGTTGATATGCATCCCTTGTAAGAAATGTAAATATAGCAAATCAGAGACTTGATATGAGTATTACTTGCCCTGGTAGAAAATAAATCAATAGAGCCCGTGTTTTGAGACCGGAAGTTCACCTAACAAAATCACTGAAAAACTCATCGTATCGATGTTTCTTTGAAAGAAAATATTTTTATCAGAATGCTTTATTTAAAAGTGAGACATGCAGAATACTTCTCAAAACCTAAAACTTAATAAATTGAAAGGTCTTTGTTACATTTTTATTCAGTTGATAATCAGTCACTTTTCTGAACGACAAAAAATACTTACAGCTAAAAGAATAGATTGAACGAGAATTGCTAATATGAAGAAAAATTCAGTAGGCTTGAAAACTGTGCTAAATTATTAAAATAGGCTGAGTATACAGAGTACTATTGGTTTCCAATTCTGTTTAGTTTTTAATCTCTGAAGAGCTGTATCAACACACAATGAATTAACATACTGAATAACTGTCTGTGAATTACCACTCCTCAAAACATGGATAAAAACCCACAAAAGACAAAAAGAATTCGATTTCCAGCCGGTGTACTACCAATCCTTGCCTAGCTGAAAGTAAACCTGTAAAAAATGAAAGATTAGGCTTGATGCTATAAACAGGCCTCATAAAAAAGACACCATAGCTACTGAATTCCAAGGCTTGAATCTGTATGTTCTACTCGAAATGCGAGGAAGTGAAAAGAACGAAATTAAAATTTGATAAGGCGTTCGTCATTAGAATATATATCTCCATATATATTCCGCAGTTCTCCATGCTCACTACCACTTCCCAAATAATCGACAAACATTTTCAAAGTATACTGTATTACTTTGATAAATTATCGATACCATATAGGCAAACTTTATGAAAAGTACTCGTGTTTAGCTTCTTTTTTCATTTCTTGCAACAATGAATATAAAATACTCAATGAATTAATTTTTTTTCAAAACTTTGTCTCAATTCGCTCTGGACAACTAAAAGTTAAGCAACGCCATTTCTGAGACAATAGGTTAAGAGAGAAGTTAGAATCTTCTGTTCGAATTTATATCTTCCTAATTAATATCTCTGAATGTTACAGCTCAGGTGTTTATATTACAAGGTATTACTTCAGATATACTTAAGTACAGATGTGACTTATTATTTCATATTATGTCATTTCAACATTTAAAGTGCATAATTTAAACATAAAGTTGGGGAGACACACTAAATTTTGTAAAATAGGATTTACAAACAGAATTCCACAAGTGAAAGAATTTTCTATAGTTTGCTTTGTAAGGGTTTGTTATGTTTTTACGAGTTGATCACGGACTGATATCAGTTCTCTAACTGATATCAGTCCGTGATCAACTCGTAAAAACAAGTGAAAGAAGTTTACTCCCGTTAAATCTGTCTTTTTGATTTTTTGTTTTAAATGGAGCAGTTATGAACGTCAAGATAAGTAACTCTAGATTTCGCAATAAATTATCACGGAAAGCAAATATGCTATTGATTTTTTAACATTCATACAAACTTTTGATTTGCGGTTTTTGAATCTGTCACAGCACAGAAGTACCATTCGCTCATAGAAAGACAATAACTGGAGTGACTCACTATCCAGAGAAATATCGTCATGTGAATTCAACAGTAAACAATGATGTCTACTTGTTGAAAAAATATGGCATTTAAATGCATCAAAATATTCTTATTTCAGAAATCTGCTAATTATGTTTTATGGGATGTTTTCTCAAAATAGGTCAAAGTCACCGTGGTATATTTAGACAGCATATCCACAAAAAACGTTGTACCAAATATAATTTTAAGTCTCAGTCCTTCATAAGTAAATTTATAACTATCAGCTATCTAATAAAACAGCTATATTTCTGAAGAAATTACAAACTTGAACAAATATCTCTAGCTTCTGAGTTTATAATATCTCATCAAGTTATCCTGATTTATTTATTTGAATGCCCTTCTTTATGCGAAACTCAATTCATTAGTAATATATGAAATTATTTTCTATAAGCCTAGTAATTTTGTCTTGGTTTGAGCTTATGTAATGCCTTTTATTTTAGGGCGATACTGGAAGACATATACTGATTGGTCGCTGTTTAGTGAATGCATTTGAATTCATACAAATGCTGTTGCAAACATACTTTGTTCAAGACAGCTTCTACAGATGCAGTGATCGGATTGAACAACAAATTGTGAAACCTGGAAGACAATCAATTGTTGCTTTGCTGGGAATAAACCTAGCCTTATGGATACAGAAAAGTTTTCAGGCAAGTTAGAACTTGTTTTGTATGCTGACTGCTTCTATCTTCTGAAAACACTAAAGAAAGGCACTATAAATTTCTTTAAACCAGGAAAACTAATCTTTGAAAAATAAATGGCGATGACAACCGATAGAAAATTGTGTTATGTCAGTCATTAGGCACTGATCACTCAACTAATGAATATTTTCTATGACTGACAAATATCTGTGAATAATTTACAGCCTTCAACAAAGAAAACAGGTGCTAGATCAGTAGCAAATACACTATATAGTGAAGTTTTATCAATGAACTATTTGAGTTCCTGATACAGTAGCATATTAACTAGATCAAGGGACAATAATTTTCAGGTCGACCGTTGATTAGGATATCAAACAGTCAATATTAAATTAGAATACAGGTATGGGAATTTGATACTCTGTTGGCTATGGATTGTCTAAGCCATATCCTGATTCAACATGAAGGTGGATTTGCTTCATTTGTTTTTCCTCTTTACTGAACGGTGTTCTTAATAGATTCTTCATATATTCTCAGAACTAGTATTAATGTTCCCCTGATGAGTAATAACTACTTTAATAGGCTGTCGCACACCAAAATTACGAATATTTGTGAAACATAATTGTTACAATAAATTGAAATACCTTATTTTGAAATTCAATGAAGCAAATGAAGAACATAGGTAAACAAGGGATTTGGTCTATTTATACCTCAAATGCTCTTCCCAACGTTCTATTCCTTTTTACACAGTTCCCTTATGTAAAAAGTAAAGCTCATTCTGGTCACATATTTAGATAGATTTATATGCAGTATATTAGAATCAGAATGATTCACATTAAAGTGTATCTACCAGTCAATTTTTTTCCATCAAACACTTATAAATTAAAAATATGCTAGTAGAATTATTACCTTGTAAATGTGAAACCTAACAGTCATAACGAAGTTGTGGTTGAAAAACAGAATAAACTGATAAGTAGTTGGATATAGTCAGTAAAAAGCTAGTGACGCTTTTTAATATATCATTGTTCATAATCGAAACACCTTTTTTAAGACTTCTAGAAACCCGTTAGTACTATAAAGACAAAGTTAACTCCGTTACTAAGCTGATCATCTAAATATTTCACCACTAACAATCACACAGTGAAAATTACGGAGTATATCAGTAAATGACTCTGAATTAATTTATTGATTAATACTCTTAGTCTGATTTCGGTGGTCCAGTCAGGAGTGCTATTAATGAAATAAGCATTACTTTCATTTCAGTTTCTTTATGAATGTTCTGACTAGAAAGAAATTAGTATTTTTATGCAGAAAAAATAAGTGGAATGATTTTGAAGTGAAGTCTTCTTATTCATTAACTGAAGAGTGATAACTTTCGGCATGATCTAACTTTTTTAGAGTACTAGTGACCTAGATTACTAGGTCACTAGTATTCTAGCCGGTCCCAAGCCTGGATAAACAGGGAGGGTTGGGGCGTGGTGCTAGCAACTCCACTCCCAAAACTTAACCAAATTGCTACTAAAACTTCAACGCACAAATATATTAAAAATTCTAAAATTACAAATAGTGACCTTATTTTTCGCTGGAATCGGGGAAGTGAAATGACGCGGGCTGGTGAAAGCCTTCGGGAAGCCAGTCAGCCGATGTGCCTTCTTTCGATGAAAGCGAAAATAAGGATGGGGACGTGGAATATTCGTACAATGTAGGAAACTGGAAAGGCTGCTCAGGTAGCCGCAGAAATGAGGAGATATAGAATAGAAGTGTTGGGAATCTGCGAGAGCAGATGGAACGGATGTGGAAGGAGCCAACTGCCAACTGGAGAGACAATAATCTACTCCGGTCACCCAGAGGACAATCACGAGCACACCGAGGGAGTAGCCATCATGATGTCACCAACAGCAGCTAAAGCTCTCATGCAGTGGGAACCAATCTTCTCCAGGATAATGACAGCAAGGTTCAACTCAAAAGGAAAAAAGGTTACAATCATTCAATGCTATGCGCCTACAAACGTCTCAGAACAAGAGAAGAAGGAGGCCTTCTACAGAAAACTACAAGCAGTAATGGACAACGTCCCAAAGAGCGATATCAAAATCCTGATGGGCGACATGAATGCGAAACTGGGAGGAGACAATACAGGAAGAGAACTCACCATGGGTCGTGAGGCCCTCGGTGAAATGAATGACAATGGTGAACTCTTCTCAGACTTCTGCGCCTTCAACGATTTGTTGATTGGTGGTAGTGTGTTCAGACACAAGGATATACACAAGGCAACATGGATTTCACCAGATGGACACACTAAAAACCAGATAGACTTCATTTCAATCTCAAGGAAGTGGAGACGGAGCCTACTGGACACAAGATCGAGGAGAGGAGCAGATGTGGGTTCAGACCACTATCTGGTACAAGGGACATTCAAGGTGAAGCTGAAAGCCTCGAGGATAGCTGGGGATAGCCCACAATGCAAGTTCAACACTCACAAACTGAAGGACACAACCACAAAGGACACTTTCACTGCAACTGTCAGAGCAAAGCAGGAAACACCACGTGGCACCACTGAGGAATCATCCGTGGAAGACCATTGGAACTCTCTGAAGGTAATTTTCAACGAAACGTGTCCAACGGTTTTAGGAAGAAAGAAGAAACAAGACAAGGAATGACTCTCAACGGAAACTTGGAAGCCAATAGAGGAGAGGAGAATGGTGAAAGAGAAAATGATTCAATGCAAAGACGGACAAGAGAAAGAGACGCTGAGCTCAACTCACACAGCACTGGACAAAGAAGTGAAGAAGAATGCCAGGAAGGACAAAAGACAATTCTACGACAACCTGGCCACTGAAGCTGAGAAGGCAGCAGGCAAAAGGGACCTGAGGACACTATATCAGATAACCAAGTCTCTATCCGGGGAGAGATCAACACAAATGAAACCTATAAAAGACAGCCAAGGGAATCCAATGACCAAGGAAGAAAGACAGATTAAACAATGGGCGGACCACTTCATAGCACTCTTGAACAGACCACCACCTACAACCTGTCCAGAAATACCAACAACAGCACGTACACAACTGCAAGTTGACACCAGTCCTCCAACGAAAGCTTAAGTCTTGAATGCAATCAAGCTTCTGAAAGCTGGAAAAGCAGCTGGACCAGATGGAATACCCCATGAAGCACTGAAAGCGGACCCAGAGACGACAGCAGATATTCTGACTCCATTATTGCAAAAAGTCTGGAAGGAGGGAAAGGTGCCTACTGACTGGAGGAAAGGTCACCTTGTGAAACTGCCAAAGAAGGACGATTTAGGACTCTACGAGAACTGGCGAGGAATCATGCTCCTGTCGACGCCAAGTAAAATTCTGAGTTGCATCATCCTGGAGAGAAAAAAGGACGCACTGGATACAGAACTCCGACCAGAACAAGCTGGATTCAGGAAAGGCAAATCATGTTCTGACCAAATTGCAACTCTACGCATCATCATCGAACAAAGCATGGGATGGCAATCAAACCTCTACCTCAACTTCCTTCATAGACTTTGAGAAGGCCTTCGACAGCGTTGACCGCAAAGTAATTTGGAAACTACTCGAGTACTACGGCGTACCCAAATATTCATCAACCTTATTCAACAGCTGTACGACAAAGGCACATGTCAAGTGATCCACAACGGAAAACTCAGCGAGGCGTTTGCAGTAAACACAGGAGTCAGACAAGGGTGCTTATTATCACCAATGATATTCCTAATTGTGGTGGACTGGATTATGCGTCAGACAGTGAGAAGCGAGAAGACAGGGATATGCTGGACTGACGTGAAGAACCTAGAAGACCTGGATTTCGCGCGTGGATGATTTATGTTTGATGTCACACAAAATCGAAGACCTACAAGCGAAAACCGACAAACTGGTCGAAGAAGCAGCCAGAGAGGACAGGACTCCAGGTGAACATAGACAAGACGGAGGTTATGAGAATAACCGACCAACAACAACAACAACAACAGCAGCAGCAACATCCAGCGCCAATCACCATCAACGGGAGGGATTTGAAAGAGGTTACTTCTTTCACTTATCTAGGGAGCATTGTCTCAACTACAGGAGGAACGGACGAAGATGTCAAATCGAGAATCGGAAAGGCGAGAAACACATTCATCAACCTGAAACCAATCTGGAAATCTTCGTCACTCAGCATCAACAACAAAATTCGGATTTTCAATACAAACGTCAAGTCAATTTTGCTTTACGGATCAGAAACTTGACGGGTCACCAAGAATATTTTCAACAGGTTGCAGACCTTTATCAACAACTGTCTTCGCTCCATACTGAAGATTAGATGGCCAGAAAGAATCACAAACAAGAAGCTATGGGAACAAACGAAACAGGAACCAATCGCCCAACAAATATGCAGGAGGAAGTGGAGATGGATTGGACACTCGCTGAGGAGGCCGTTGGGTGACATCGCGCGTCAGACCAACGCTCGAGTGGAACCCGAAAGGGAAGCGGCGAGTGGGACGTCCAAGGGTGACATGGAGGAGATCGTGTGAGGAGGAGATGAAACAGTATGGAATAACATGGACGCAAGTGAAAAGAACAGCAGAAGACAGAAGCAAGTGGAGACGTGCAGTTGAAGCCCTATGTTCCACTAGGAACCCAAGGGAACAATAATAATAATATACCTGGTCTGACTGATTACAGGATTGAAATCTCAATTATATTTTCTTTCATTCTTTGCATTCCGAGTACAACATACGTATTTAAGCTTTAAATTTTCAGTAATGGTGTGGCTATTTTTACAAGGTGGGGTCACTAGCCTCACACTCAACCATCCCTCATCTTCGGGTTTACTACCAGCTTGATGAGGTTTATTACTGGTTCAGCTTGGAATCAAACCTAAACCTCCCAAATGGTTGAGGAGCATTCTGCCACTGAAAAGCTGACGTACTATATTTAGTAAAACAATACGAATAGTGCATACAAAGGGTGTAGTGAACTAAAAGGTATATAATGAGATAATAAGCAGACATTATAATTGCCATAATCAGCCCATTAATCGTAGTAAATGTACTTCAACTGACATTAAATACTGTCAAAAATTCCTCTGAGTATTACTAGATTCGTTATTTTTATCTCTTCCTTACGTTAAATCCATTATTGATGCAATGTAAGCTTTACCTTGTCTATCATTGTCACTTTGTTTTCTTGAACGAAGCAAGAACTGCAAATGTACCAGGATAATAAGAACTTATTTCCTATTATAGGTTTCCAGGCCGTAGGTGTTACGAACTTCCTGAAATAATTTGAGCGCCGAGTCAGATTGATTCATTATAAATTATTTAAATTAATCCCAGCGTGTTAAGAAAATCAAAACAAGATTTTTCTGAACGTTTCGCTGTGTAAGCCACAGCTTCTTCAGCAGATTTTCTTAACACGCTGGGATTAATTTAAATAATTTATTTCCTATTATTTTGAGGATTCACTTCAATTGGTTACTGCCTGAGCTATATAGAAATATCAGATACAAAAAGGGTTTGAACATACAATTATCATGACAACAAAGAGTAATTGATAGGAATTTCAAGTAAAAGAAGTCCAGGATAGTTTAAGTTCTTAAATTATTAACAGTTAAAAGGATCGACTTGGTGTCCTGTTATTTGAGTATATACATAGTTTATCAACAGCCACCAGATGCGAGACTGATTACTTCAAGATACCCTGTCCTGTGGTCAGATGATTACAATGTAAAACTGTTAAACAGAATTCGACAAATGAGAAGAACCAAAGAACATGCAAGTTCACTATTTAACGATTGACTAATGTACCATTTTTCACTTACCAGATAATCCAAGCACGTGCCTTTACTAAAATAAAATGGAGTGAAGCCAAAAATGTCTCAGAGGTTTTCATATTTCACGGATTACTCAAGTCAGTAAGGGGAAATGTCTTTTTTTCTACACACTGAATGATGTAATTTGTAAAGAGATGATGAGATGTCTTGAAAAATGTTTCTGTGAATCTAATAAATATTCACTATAAACATTGAGGTAAATTTAAAAACATTCTGTTTCAGATGAAAAATGCAGACATATTGTTTATGCTGGAGACAAATCGTGGGACGTATGGTTGGATATTATTTGTTGTAACAATGCCTATTAGCCTGTTCTATAGATATCATTGCACAGTATGTCTATCGCAGTGTTTCAATAAATTATATGAAGATGAGGTAAATTTAAACAGTGCATTTTATTTTAACGTTTTTTATTAATTAAAAAATGGTGGTATTAATTAGCATGGAGACATTCTTCTGAAATTCAGCAATAAGAAGACTACTACAACAGCTTTGCTTCTCATAATGTGTCACTTACTCAAGGAAGTTAAATCTTACTCTCATTTCCTGAAGAAATCAACTCTGAAATCTCTCAAACCCTTACAAATTTAACTTGGCTACTCAACGGTGAATAACTCCGAAATGTATTCCTTAAAAGTTTAATATAGGAATTTTTGAACCGTGGGGTTCGCTCGTCGATGGCACTGGATGGCATTGGGTCTATGATTTACATTGAAAATAGTTTGAATTGTGACTCCTTGGAGTCTGACCTTACGACTGGATAAGGGAATTTCGGTCTTGTAATTCTACTTTTTTGTTTGTAGTTACGGGCAGTTACACACTAAAGTGAAATAAATGTTTACTGCTAATCAGTTTACAGTCATTCTTTAACTATCCATAGTTAGTAGCAAAATTTTATGAACTTAACATACGAAAACTGTGGAATAATTTTTTTATCATAACTCGCCTATATTAGCATCAATTTCTTATGATAATTGCGCTAAATAAATAGCAGACTCATAAGCAGTAATTTCATGAAGGCTATGAAAGCAGATACTACAGAATTGAAGTTTAGGATTTTTCATTGCGCAGCAGAAAACGAACTGTGTTTTATTAGTAATGCTTCTTTACTAAAACTGTTCATTCTTTATTATTATTATTACTTTTACAGACTCAACGTTTTGAAGAAATGTGGCGTCATCAAGTGGATCCATTTACCGATATTCTTGTTCGGTCAACTGACTCACTCAGCGATTACGAACATGATGAGACACTGCTTAAACAAACTAATGAAGTGCAGGTCAACACTGAATGTGAAGAAAAACAAAATCGCCGACTAGCCGTCTTCGCCAAAACCAAGCCTTGGCGAACATTTGACCTGACCGATGAAAGTGATGGAGAAAGCAAAGTTCCCCTATCGAACCTTAACCATCATGCCCACAACAACCTCCAAACAACTAGAAATGGAACTGGTGTTACTACTGACATCAACACCCGGAACCACAATGAGGAGAATCGTTCTACTCCTCCTAAAGAGCGAACACCTTCCTCAAAGAACTTAGAGAACCAAACTGATGATGATCTCAAAAGTGATAGCATGAGACAGCCCTACTTTTATAATGAGGAGTGCCTTAAATTCAAAGCGAGCGAAACCTGTGCATCAGAAACCAGTCAAACAGCTTCACAGAAAGGTGATGACTATTTGAACAGATGTCATATAGGTTCCGAGAGAAACAGCTATACTGGTTTGTCTAGCCGCAGATATTCTTTAGTGATCTTACCATCATGCCAGCATTCAGACAAGAATGAGGAACTTAACTCAGTTACTGTCGATAGCAGAACGTTCGATAAAAATCTGCATGAACAACTGTCAGGTGTCAGACAAATCCCAGAACGCAGACAGATTAGACGTCGCAGAACTTTAAAAAATCTAGAGACTGCCAAACATAGAGTTTTGGCAGCAGAATTAGCTCATCGAATGGTTATTGAACGCACCAGTGGAGCATCACCAACTGCATTTAGTAATGATCCAATTTCAGCCTTGTTAGATAATCCTAATCAATTTTCTCCTGAATTTAAAAGTTCTCGATCTACCATAGCCAATTTATGTAAACCTTCAGATACTACCGAATATTGTCCAAAAGTCACAAGTGTATATGGACCGACGCGAGAATTTCGCATAGCCAAAGCAGTTACTGAGACAGCTGCAATCACTATTGCTCCAGTTGAGTCGAAAATTGCAGCCAATATACCACTTATAACTCTAAATCAATGTTCAGAACCACCTAACAAAGACAACAGCTCGAGTCCAAAAGGTCATCTATCGATGTTGCATTTTCACCACAGGAGAAGTGCTGCCAATATTAATCGTGTCTCAGATGTCTTAAAAACTAAAGATGAATTCAAAAAGCATTCGCTCAAACGACGTTCTTTTAGAGAAACAAACTGGTCTTCAAGAATCGGTTTACGTAAATCTTCTAAAAGCTTTATTTCTGGTTCGTCAACGCCTCAATCAAATCATTCTCGTAGAGACTCGAAATCCGGACAAGATAATTCGCACGAAATCTCTAGCGATAATTTAGCGACCACAAAATCTGACCAGTCTAATGATAAAAATACGAATACTGTTATCATGAGTTCATATCTTGAAGTACCCAGTTCTGCACCAGTTCCACCAAAAAGTGAATAACTTGATCTCTTTAATCAGTGCAACTGTTTTCTTTGATCATTCCCTTCTTCCTCCCTTTGTTCTTCGTCATATTCACCATTTTCAGAAGATTAGAACATTATGGGTACTTCTTTAATTAGAATTCACACTATCTCATTAATCTCAGATGAAAGATCTGGAGGCAACTCAGGTATTTCAATTTTGATGGCTAGCAGATAATATCTTGTGTACATCATACACATATACATATACGTAAATCTATACACTAACCGTTTATCCATATCATTGTATAAATGTGCATATGTCAGTATTTTATCTCGTATTAATTTGATTCATTATTTCTTTCCTCCGATGTTAAAGTGAAATATTTTTCATCTTATATACTTGATACAGATAATTTTAGTTGCATAATAATGATAATAATAAAAACAGAATACAAAACTCATTGGATAGGAGGTTTAGAACTTTGTTTTAATGTCCTTATTTGCATTTTATACGTCTACAAATACGTGAAGAATTACCTGGGGAAAAAATTCAGTTTATGAAAAAGGAATGCTTGAGTAAGAGTGAAATGTGCAGTTATTTTCATCAGTGCTTTGTAGTTGATGTTAAATTTTACTTCATAGGTAGGAAGCTTCGCATTCAGACACTGCCCGTCTAAGACCAAGCCCACAAACGAACAGCCGAAGAGTAAATATTTTTTATGAAGAAGCAGAACAATGAGTCATCGTTTAAGTTAAGCAACTGATCAGTCTTAAACATGTTTACGAATTGGGCTAATTAAAAGCATATAAGAAAGACTTACTTTTCACAAAGCTGAGATTTTTCACACCTGTTTATGCTATGTATACTTCATGAAATTGGTATTCTTGGTTACAGCGTTCTCAGGATCATTACCACTAGACGAAAGTGTTCATCGGCCCATATTCATCTTTACTAGGACACTGTATCTTCCGATTACAGTTGACATGTTCAGGTTTATATAAGCCAATGTATTCAAAGCAGACTAACTGTTCATAAATATCATTATCCTGAAGTTCTCCAACCTAAATCGGAACAGATTGTTTTGCCACACAAAAATACTCTGTTGACTGTATTTTTAAGTCAAAAATAAAACTCGGACACGAATAAATCGAGTTTATGAATTTTTAAAAATAGACAACTTAATAGACTTTCTTTTCGGAAACTTCCAACCACCCATCAGGTGTCACTTACTCTTACCTTATAGTTTCCATTTTTATTAGATTGAAACCTTTTTTTCATCAATAAGAATTTATGACATTATACTGTAATCATTCATACACATCAGTATTACTGTTTTTAGGAGGAATTGCACGATCACACTTGAAAGGTTTCACTTGACTGACACAATCTTAACCTAAACAATCAAGATGTCTTCACTGTTTGCTTACAGAAGTATATAAACGTAACAGACAGTTGCTTTTGAGGTATTCTATTTGTGGTGGCAGATTTCCTCCGATGATCAACAAGGCCATTTTGATTTATGACAGAAAGTTGAGTCAAGAAATGGATGGTAATGTCGATTTGATGCCATTGCTACGGAGTAGTAAATGAAAAGAGTATATTTGTAGTAATAGTGAAAGAGGGTTGCGTCACCAATCAGTTGATTTCCATTAGCTTGTTGTTATTGCTTACAAACTCACCGGCAATATCTGATTTTACTAGTGATTTTATATTGTATCACATTAAATTTTTATAAAAACATTCATGATCACTGTAGATTTCATTTTCTTTCTACTGATTAATGTAACTTGAAATCAGTCAGTCCGCAAACCCTCAAGTTTATTTGAAGAAATGGACCGTTTTTCATCGAAGAAAGGGTCAAAAATTCTGAGTGAATATCAATTATTCTTGAACCTTGTAGACTACCATATAAAATATATATATAACTTAAAATAAGTAAATGTAGTAAAAGTGATTTAAAATGAAGTATAACTTATTAAAGAAGCTTGAGATGACTGAAATAGAATGAAAGCCTATTGAAGTTTTTACGAACATTCAGCATAGCAGTACTAAACGCAATTCAAAATAAAGACCGAGATAATACATTTTGTAACAAATGAAAATCCCAAAAACTCATTTTAGAAACTGGAAAATATTTGGACAAGGTAAAACCAACCACTTTATTATTATTTATTATTATTGTTCCTTTGGGTTCCTAGTGGAACATAGGGCTTCAACTGCACGTCTCCACTTGCTTCTGTCTTCCGCTGTACTTTTCACTTCCATCCATGTTAGTCCATACTGTTTCAGCTCCCCTTCACAAGATCTCCTCCATGTCACCCTTGGACGTCCCACTCGCCGCTTCCCTTTCGGGTTCCACTCGAGCGTTGGTCTGACGCGCGATGTCACCCAACGGTCTCCTCAGCGAGTGCCCAATCCATCTCCGATTTCTCCTGCATATTTGTTGGGCGATTGATTCTTGCTTTGTTTGTTCCCATAGTTTCTTGTTGGTGATTCTTTCCGGCCACCTGATCTTCAGTATATAGAGCGAAGACAGTTGCTGATAAAGGTCTGCAACCTGTTGGAAATGTTCTTTGTGACCCGCCAAGTTTCTGATCCTTATAGAAGAACTGACTGACTTGACGTTTGTATTGAAAATCCGAATTTTGTTGTTGATGCTGAGTGACGAAGATTTCCAAATTGGTTTCAGGTTGATGAATGTGTTTCTCGCCTTTCCGATTCTCGATTTGACATCTTCGTCCGTTCCTCCTGTAGTTGAGACAATGCTCCCTAGATAAGTGAAAGAAGTAACCTCTTTCAAATCCCTCCCGTTGATGGTGATTGGCGCTGGATGTTGCTGCTGCTGGTGTTGTTGTTGTTGTTGTTGGTCGGTTATTCTCATAACCTCCGTCTTGTCTATGTTCACCTGGAGTCCTGTCCTCTCTGGCTGCTTCTTCGACCAGTTTGTCGGTTTTCGCTTGTAGGTCTTCGATTTTGTGTGACATCAAACATAAATCATCCACGCGCGAAATCCAGGTCTTCTAGGTCTTCTCGCTTCTCACTGTCTGACGCATAATCCAGTCCACCACAATTAGGAATATCATTGGTGATAATAAGCACCCTTGTCTGACTCCTGTGTTTACTGCAAACGCCTCGCTGAGTTTTCCGTTGTGGATCACTTGACATGTGCCTTTGTCGTACAGCTGTTGAATAAGGTTGATGAATATTTGGGTACGCCGTAGTACTCGAGTAGTTTCCAAATTACTTTGCGGTCAACGCTGTCGAAGGCCTTCTCAAAGTCTATGAAGGAAGTTGAGGTAGAGGTTTGATTGCCATCCCATGCTTTGTTCGATGATGATGCGTAGAGTTGCAATTTGGTCAGAACATGATTTGCCTTTCCTGAATCCAGCTTGTTCTGGTCGGAGTTCTGTATCCAGTGCGTCCTTTTTTCTCTCCAGGATGATGCAACTCAGAATTTTACTTGGCGTCGACAGGAGCATGATTCCTCGCCAGTTCTCGTAGAGTCCTAAATCGTCCTTCTTTGGCAGTTTCACAAGGTGACCTTTCCTCCAGTCAGTAGGCACCTTTCCCTCCTTCCAGACTTTTTGCAATAATGGAGTCAGAATATCTGCTGTCGTCTCTGGGTCCGCTTTCAGTGCTTCATGGGGTATTCCATCTGGTCCAGCTGCTTTTCCAGCTTTCAGAAGCTTGATTGCATTCAAGACTTAAGCTTTCGTTGGAGGACTGGTGTCAACTTGCAGTTGTGTACGTGCTGTTGTTGGTATTTCTGGACAGGTTGTAGGTGGTGGTCTGTTCAAGAGTGCTATGAAGTGGTCCGCCCATTGTTTAATCTGTCTTTCTTCCTTGGTCATTGGATTCCCTTGGCTGTCTTTTATAGGTTTCATTTGTGTTGATCTCTCCCCGGATAGAGACTTGGTTATCTGATATAGTGTCCTCAGGTCCCTTTTGCCTGCTGCCTTCTCAGCTTCAGTGGCCAGGTTGTCGTAGAATTGTCTTTTGTCCTTCCTGGCATTCTTCTTCACTTCTTTGTCCAGTGCTGTGTGAGTTGAGCTCAGCGTCTCTTTCTCTTGTCCGTCTTTGCATTGAATCATTTTCTCTTTCACCATTCTCCTCTCCTCTATTGGCTTCCAAGTTTCCGTTGAGAGTCATTCCTTGCCTTGTTTCTTCTTTCTTCCTAAAACCGTTGGACACGTTTCGTTGAAAATTACCTTCAGAGAGTTCCAATGGTCTTCCACGGATGATTCCTCAGTGGTGCCACGTGGTGTTTCCTGCTTTGCTCTGACAGTTGCAGTGAAAGTGTCCTTTGTGGTTGTGTCCTTCAGTTTGTGAGTGTTGAACTTGCATTGTGGGCTATCCCCAGCTATCCTCGAGGCTTTCAGCTTCACCTTGAATGTCCCTTGTACCAGATAGTGGTCTGAACCCACATCTGCTCCTCTCCTCGATCTTGTGTCCAGTAGGCTCCGTCTCCACTTCCTTGAGATTGAAATGAAGTCTATCTGGTTTTTAGTGTGTCCATCTGGTGAAATCCATGTTGCCTTGTGTATATCCTTGTGTCTGAACACACTACCACCAATCAACAAATCGTTGAAGGCGCAGAAGTCTGAGAAGAGTTCACCATTGTCATTCATTTCACCGAGGGCCTCACGACCCATGGTGAGTTCTCTTCCTGTATTGTCTCCTCCCAGTTTCGCATTCATGTCGCCCATCAGGATTTTGATATCGCTCTTTGGGACGTTGTCCATTACTGCTTGTAGTTTTCTGTAGAAGGCCTCCTTCTTCTCTTGTTCTGAGACGTTTGTAGGCGCATAGCATTGAATGATTGTAACCTTTTTTCCTTTTGAGTTGAACCTTGCTGTCATTATCCTGGAGAAGATTGGTTCCCACTACATGAGAGCTTTAGCTGCTGTTGGTGACATCATGATGGCTACTCCCTCGGTGTGCTCGTGATTGTCCTCTGGGTGACCGGAGTAGATTATTGTCTCTCCAGTTGGCAGTTGGCTCCTTCTACATCAGTTTCATCTGTTCTCGCAGATTCC